CATGTTTATGTATAAAAACATTTGAACCTATAGTAAATCATTCACAAGACATTTAAACTTCAGATTGTCTTTACTCTTGGATTCACTATAAGTCCACATACTATTTCTTCCGCCAGAACGTGCTCTATTGAAAGAAATTAAACTAAAATGACTTGCTTTAATAATCTATTGCAAGACTCAGCAAGCTACGTTACCATGCATATCCAAAGCTGAACCAAACTTATTAAAGATAACCTTCATAACAACAAATAATTGAGGAAGAACTTTTATCTTTAAAGAACTGATTGTATCCCCATTCAAAGGTCCAACTCCAGACAATGGGTCACATTAGATTTATTAACTACAACAAGTTTTTCTTTTTCATCTACATACTACAGTGGGGCTGGTAGCTGAAATTTACTTTAAATCTGCCAAAGACAACATCTTCAAAAAGTAGTTCTGGCAAGTTGTTTAAAACATTTGAATAACTTGTTTTCTCACTGATTTTCCCATAAATTTATTCTTACAGAAAACTTACTATATTAATATGTCATATTTTAAGGGTTCAAAGTTTACTTTAAAAGTTAAGGCATATTCTATCTAGTTCTTGTCTCTGTATTTCATACTTTTATACCACTTCTGCACTTCAGAGACTCACAATTCATTTTATTCTCCAATTAAAATACAAAATTTTTATTTCCTCATGAGTTGACTTCTTTTTAAAAAAAATGTTTTTACAGATTTTTTATTGCATTTGAGAGAGAGAGAGAGATCAATGTGAGAGTGCAACATGCATCAGCTACCTCCTCCAGGCCCCCAACCAGGGATCAAGCCCCCAATCTGGGCATGTGCTCTGGCTGTGAATGAAACTGGCAACCTTCCAATGCATGGGACCACACCCAACCAAGCCACACCAGCCAGGGCTGTGAGCTGACCTCTTTTAAGAAGTAAAATCACAAACTATACCATTATTCCATGGCATTATTGCCTCTTTTAAAATGTTACCCTCTGCTTTACAATCACTGTTTTAACCAATTAGCAATTGCTGATAACAAGTCCCCTTAACTTGTCAAGGAAATGGAATCATAGAATCCACACCTTCAAATATACAAACAACTCCTGCCAGTATGTACAAACATACACATAGGTATCTTCCATCTATTTCTTTACCATGACTACTACTACATACCACGATGTGGGAGAATTAAAAAAGATAAAACTGAAACCGAGTCCATTTTAAAGTACGAGTGGTTGGTTTAATATTTAAACCTAGCCACAAAGTCATGAATTTGTAAGCCCAGGATTATTCCTTGTTTACAAAATTTAAGCTACCCTATATTTAGATGACACTTTTAAGTACGCCCTATTGATTGAGAGAAAAGGTATTTCACCGATTCTATTACATATCACAAAGCACCCACACATTAGATATATAACTTTCATTACTGTTTTGTAAGAAAATGAAGTATAAGTACAAATGGTACTAATCCAAAATTTTAAGTATCAAATAGTACACTGAAACAGGAACTAATATTAACACTTTAGGTACCCAGGTACTATAGTTTTCAAGAGGTTCCTTTTGTAGTAGAGTCCTTAAGTCTCTTCCTAAGCCTTTAATTTTTCAATTATCTTCTCCTATTAAGTTCATGTAATAATTACCATTATGATAAAACCAAAATAACTCCATTTGAAACTTCTGGGACAGATCTTTGGCTTCCCCACCCCCCGTCAATCCTAATACCTTGAGAAACTGATAACAAATATGAACTTTCTTCCTAGAAAAATACACCATCACAAAATTTTATATGCATTATCATGGTATCCACTGTCTTTCAGAATCATTTTCATGTAACCCTCAAACCCCCAACTTAAACTTCTATTCAAAAATATCTTGGGCAGGGTAAAAAGTTGAAACTAGATTTTATCATGCTTTTCAATTGTGATTTTATCGGGATGAAAAAAAATCTTGGTTTACAAGATGTTAAAGAAAAAAACTCATTTCTTTCAAAAATGAGAAATCAAACTTTTAAACGTAAGTATTTTAAACTTTTTATAAAAAACAAAAAAGTAGATTTTTTGTTTTGAAAATGTAGTGCTTAACCATTTTTTCTCATATCAGAGATATGTACGTCTTTCCAACTTTCTCCTAAGTACAAAAAACACTTGGCTGCTTTGTAAGTGGTCCTTAACCTGGGTTTAATGATTGGGCCTTCAATCTTTCCTTTTTGAGTTAACAAGTTACAACACATTACATATCATTTCAGACTATAAACCCTAACATCTGTGATCTCGATCAAGTCCTTCAATTTATTATAATCTGAAATTACTTTTCAATCCTACTACAATAAAATAATGACTAACAACTAAATTCCAAAGTTGAGAAAAATTCATTTAGGGGGGAGGAGGGGACTTCTACTTAGTTTCTTAAAGTCAATGTGTTAAACTTAGGTTATAAAAATTGGTTAAATGGGAGTACATTAATAAGTGTTATTTTCCCAATGTTAAGACTTAGAATTTCTGTCAAGTTTACCATAGAAACAAAATATGGTAACAATTACCAGGTATAGCTCACTTGACAATTTCAGATACATTTTGATCATGACATGCTTTCTTAATGAGGTGATGTGTACAAAAATGTCCTCATCTAAAACTCCCCCATCTTTGATGATCAATTTAGGATTATACTTTTTCTAAACAACCTAAAAGACACCATAACCAATGGTTCAATCAAAGGCAAAAGTTTGTTTTAATCCTTTGCCTGTATATCATGCTACAGCAAATTATCAAAAAGTTTGTTTTTCTAAGGTTAACTCAGAATTCAATTACCTTTATTCTTAGTATACATTTTCCTAATTGTGTAAAATGCTACGTTCAATACTGTGATTTATACAGCCACTAACTACCAGCATGAACCACAGAACGGTAAAGCAGCTGTTTACCTGGTATTTTTCACATTCTTTTATTAAGTTCAGTATCTACTCCTGAAGTCTACACGTCAGAGATCGTAGTTTTAGTTGGATGTAAAGTGAAACAAATTCTAAAAAGATGACAGAAAAAGGTAGTGTGAAAGAAAAAAATTCCTTATGTCCCTCAAAAACAGGAACTCCATGTTACAAACTAATAATATCCACTGCACTATAATGTCAAAATTATTTCAATTAACAAAATTATCTGATTTCAGGCTGCAGCCCTTGGGATTGTCCAAGACTTTTCACGAAAGCATGACTTAACTAAATTTCTAAAGTGTACTGTAGTGCTATCTCGCTTTTCATCAAGGCTCTCCCCTTTCGTGGCTGCAAAACAAGAACTACAAATTAATTTCCAGGGTAGTGTAACTCCAACACCCTAAATTTAAAGTATAACCTGTAAAACTTATAAACAGAAACAAAAATAAAACCAAAAGACAAGATTCTGCAGTCACAAGTACTTTAATTTTAGAGACAAATCACTTATTTAAACAAATGGCACCATTCTACACTAAAGTTGATACAAGTAAAATAAATTAAGAGATTCTGTCTCATAATGTGCTGACAATCTCCACTACTACATACACTTATTTTTTAGCTTATCTGTAAAGTTAGATTTAAGACACTACTCTCAAAAGTAACATTGGACTGTCACAACTGTTTTACTTTAAAAGGTTAAACAACCCAAACAGTTTAAACAGCTTTATTTCCAAAATCAACATTACAGAGCATAATTTCTACATTTAAAATTCTTACAGTACCAAATAGAGGTATTACAGTACAATTTTCCACAACAAAATTGTAGGACACAAATCCAGCGACTCCTCGACTTCCTTGACTGTCAATATACTGCACCCTGTTTAAATGGCTGTACCTGAAAACCAAGGTATGCAATTTCTTAGAATTAGAAGTCATCAAGTTATACTGTCAAGGATCTGGGGGAAATGAGAGGAAGATTCTATTATCCTTATGTCTGAACCCAACTTCCACGACAAAGTAAAGCCACAGCTATGATAAAATATCTATTAGTTTTAAGTAAATATTTAAATACTGAAATCCACCCAAATTATATATCTTAATGTTAAGATTTTTTTTGTTCAGTTATGGATAAGAAAATTTAGACCTGTAACATCTACTTTAAGTGGGTTTCTCCCCCCGTGAAACTAGAAAGCAGGCGAACTTAAAAAAACTTTATTTAAAAACAAAACAGAACAAAACCTGATAAAATTACAGGTTTTACACGAACCACGTACTCAAAAACAAAAAACAAAAAACCTGCAACATATTTTCAAGGATGAAAGAAAAACTCAGGGACAGTAGTTTATTACCCCCCGACTAACTAGAACTGCGGTGGAATGGATGCAGAAATACCAAGGATACAGAAAATAAGTCTCATCTGTTATGAAATTCATCCGGGAAAACACGCAGTCCCCTCAACACTTCTTTGCAGAGATGGGGGAGTAAAGCCTCAAGACCTGCCATCGACGTTGGAGCTTCCGGACGCTCTACGTGGGGCCCCGCGGAGCCCCCACATTTCCAGGCCACGGAGAAGTGAAACGCCCCCACGGTGCACAGAACCTGAGCTCCCCGGCGCCGGAGGCGCGCTAAGGCCGAAGTGGCCCTAGAGCGCCACCCAGCGGCCTGCGGAGCGGCGCACAGGCGGGTCCTCCCCGGCACCCAGCGCGCCGCAGCCCCACCGCCACCCAGCCCGTTCCACTCTCCAGATGCACAAGGCCCAACCCGACAACTGAGACCACAAAATGGCTGCCGGCAGCTTCGTCACGTGACCCCTTTGTGCCTTTCGGGCTCCCGAACTCTGTGGGACCCGGGTATAAGTGGCCGGGGTCGGCGGTTGGCCTCAGAGGAGGCCCCGCCAGGCCGCGGCGGCCGGGGGTCGAGGCCGGGGAGGCGGGGTAGAGGGCTGGCCGGCGACTGAGAGTCGGCGGCGGAGAGAAGATGACGGCCATTTTGTGTGGGTTTGGTGCTCCGCCGCGGCCGCCGGCAGCAGAGCGAGAGGGGCCTGGCGGTGGGTCGGACAGGGGAGTTAACACGTACCGACTCCTCTTCTTTCTCCATTCCGGTGGGCATCTGCGGCACGGCCCGGTTTATCGAGGCGTATTCGTGCAGGTCGGGCAGATCCTCACAGCGGAAAACCGGCAGCGGCTTCGAGGCGTCTAGCGCCCGCGCCCGAAACGATAGTTTACTCATCTCAGGCGCAGCAGATACCTCTCTGCTCTGGGGAAACGGCCCCGGCCAGCGGGATCATGGAGAACCGGGGGTTCGGTCCCCACTCGCCTACCGCTGCCGGGGACTTGAGGGGCGGAGCGCAGAGCTCGCCGTCCGGGCCCTAACAGCAGCCGGGAGGGTGGGAGGCTGTGCCGCTCCGCTCCTCTCTCGCTCGCTCTCTTCAATACGCCATGGCCAACATGGCGGACATTAAAACTCCACTGTGCGCTCTTCAGCCAACCCCAGCCATTCCCCACACTGCATCGCGCAGCGGCGCGGGCACGCGGGGGGGGAGGGCGCGGGCTCGAACGGGCGCCAGCCCGGAGCGCGCGTCCCGTCAACCCCCGGCGCCCGCCGGCCGTGTGGGCCGCGCCTGGCTGCTGGAGGCCCCCGCCCTCCGCGGCCTGGAGGCGGCGGGGCTGGCCGGAGGGCCTGGGCTCTCGGATGCCGGGGGCCCACAGCTCGGGCCGCCGCTCGCTCCCCGCACACGTTCACTTTCCGAGGGAGCGCCGTTGGTTGACAGGCGAAGGTGCCGAGCAACTATCCGTACCCGCGCGGCTTTCCGAAAGGCCCCGGCGGGAGAAGTACGGGGGGCGGCGCTACGGCCCCAGGTCGCCGCGCTCCGGCACCTGTCCCCCCGCCCTGGCCGGCGCGAGGGGCGGGGGCGACCGGGGACCAAGGCCGCGGGCGGCGGGTCAGGAGCGGCGCTCCAGGGGCACAGCCGGTGGGTGAGGCATCGTTATCGCTGCGCATTAGGTCTTTAAAACAAAACAAAACAAAACAATGCAGTCGAAATTAGGGGCAAAGGATGTCTAAGGAAACTCCGGATTATAACATTTCAAAGACTTTGCCTCACAACATTGGTCAGTTTCCACCCACTGGGCCCAATATTAACGGCTGTCATCCTACTCTGATCCAAAGTAGAGTTGTTGTTTTTTAATTCTGCATTTTATCAAACCATACTCACACATTTATTATAATTGAAGCAAAGGGTATAATTATTATCGAACTGTAACACTGTAACCTTAAGGAAAAAAATTTAAAGCAAAGCCAATTTCAAGCTTTCAGAGCCAATTCTGTATAGATGGCCCAAGGTTTTCTGTGTACTGAAAGAAAATGCCATTTCAACATAGTTACGGGTTCACACCTATCATTTGTTCTGTGAAAAATTCCAGAATTGAATCATATGAAGACCTGTTGTACTGCCAAACCTACAAATAATAAAATAATAAAAATGAATAAATAAATAATAAAAGGAATAGCTAAATTATTAGCTATTAGAAGAGATCTCGATGGATGTGATAGATTGTTAACACTTGGTTTATAGTACAAGTGAAAATGGTTTCCCCAGAGAGCTCTTGCCAGTGGAACATTTAAAAAATCAGAACTACTGTTGGGTTGGGTTTAATAAATTTGGCAGCAAAATTTCTGATGTTCACTGAGATAAAAAAAAAAAAAAAAGGTTTAAGACTGTTCTTCTCCCCGGGAGCTACATAGTAAAAATAATCACTATTCTTAGATACTGTATTTAGGCAGACTGCTACCTTTCAGGGGGTTTACACGTTACCAGGTGGGAGAAGATAATGAGAACATAAAGGGCAGTTCTCCAAAAGTATCCTAAACCTCCTATATTGACAACTCACATCTGCTAGGCAGAGGGATTTCCATTACATTTCCTGTAAGACTATGCACTTATTCATTCAATGAACAGTTATGGAGCCTTCACAGCCTTTGAAGTACACTGCTGATTACCTAGCACCTACAAGGTTCCTGGAGGAGCTTACACAGTGGGAGAAGGACCTGTGGATGGCAATTGCCACACCAGAGGTGAGTGTTTCGATAAAAGCCCAAGCTATTGTGGAAACAGGCAGGAGTGGCACCCAATCCATGGGGAGTGGCTCTAATGAAAGCATTCAGGGAAGGCTTTTTGGAGGGAATGATATCTGAGTAAAAATTATGTAGGATAAGCATGGGTTAACCATGCAAAAATCCATTTTGGGGGGATTTGAAGAGAAGAAAGGTATCTTAGGCAAAGGAAGCAGCATGTGCAAAAACTCAGGCCCACAAAAGTGCATGTTACAGTCTGGGATCTTCAAGAATTGCCAGTTATACTGTGAAATATGGCACCTAGTGAGACAGGTTTCACAGTTCTGAAAATACTGGCTGAATATTAGTATAGTAGTCCTCTCCAGCCTAGAGAATTAGATTTCTGAAAATCCTAGTAGAATTTGTTGATTAAGGAACCCAAGACTTTATAGAACAAAATAGTCTTAAGTCATGAATGAAACACCAAGGAAATGAATATATATATATTTAACCTTCACTAAAAATAACACCATATGGATAACATTCTCCCCATCCCACATTAGTAATTATGGGCACCATACAATTAAATTCCTTGTTCTCTAGAAATTCCAGAATCACCTCCCACAGCAGGTTGAAAGAGAGGCTTACAAATTAAGCTTAAATTTTTGCAGATAATATGCCTGGTAAGAGACATTTTCCTTCTGCGTCAGTTCCCCATCCAACTCAATGCCCTGGGTTTCCAAGGACCAAAGGCTGGTGTCCTTCTTATAGTCAGCTCACTTCTCTCCCTCCTAAGGGGCAGAAGTGCAGCAATAAAGGTTCAGGTTCAGGTTTTTTTTTTTTTTTTAAAATGAATTAATTTTTGTTGCATATCCCTTTCCCACTGCAGACACCTTCCTCCTTATCCTGCCCACTGCCAAGCATTCTTGTCTATGTCCATTGGTTACGCATACATGAATATAAGTTCTTTGGTTTATCTCACCCCTCCCCTCCGCCCCTCCTCTGAGGTTTGTCAGTTGAACCATACTCTTTTCTATGTCTCTGGGTGTGTTCTGCTCATCAGCTTTTTTGTTGTTGTTGTTCATTATGTTCCACAAATAAGTGAGATCGTGTGGTATTTGTCTTTCTCTGTTTGGCTTATTTTGCTTAGCATGATACCCTCCAGGTTCCTCCATGTCCTCTCAAAGGATAGATCTTTCTGTCTTACAGATGCATAATGTTCCATTGTGTATGTACCACTGCTTTTTTAATCCAGTCATCTACTGATGGACACTTGAGCTGTTTCCAGATTTTAGCTATTGTAAATAATGCTGCTATGAACATAGGGGTACATATATTCTTTCTAATTGGTGTTTCAGTCTTCTTAGGATATATTCCTAGAAGTGGGATCACTGGGTCAAATGGCAGTTCAATTTTGAACTTTTTGAGGAAACACCATAGTGTTTTCCATAGTGGCTGCACCAGTCTGCATTCCCACCAGCAGTGCACTAGAGTCCCCTTTTCTCCACACCCTCGTCAACACTTGTTGTTTGATGATTTGTTGATGGCAGCCATTCTGGCATAGTTGTTTTAGTTTGCATCTCTCTGATGATTAGTGACATTGAGCATTTTTTCATATGTCTCTTGGCCATTTGTATGTCCTGTTTGGAGAGGTGTCTATTTAGGTCCTCTGCCCATTTTTTAATTAGGCTCTCTGTCTTCCTTTTGTTGAGTTGTATGAATACTCTATATATTTTGGAAATTAGCCCTTATCTAATGTATCATTGGCAATTATGCTCTCCCATTTAGTAGGTTCCTTTTCAATTTTGATGGTTCGTTTCTTTTGCTGTGCACAAGCTTTTTAGTTTGATGTAGTCCCATATATTAATTTTTTCCTTTGTTTCTCTTGCCTTAAGTGTTGTATCACTGAAAATTCTACTGCCTGTGATGTCTGAAATTTTGTTGCCTACATATTCTTCTATGATTTTTATGGTTTCACGAGTCACATATAAGTCTTTTATTCATCTTGGGTTTATTCTTCTGTATGGTGTAAGTTGGTGGTCTGGCTTCATTTTTTTTTTTTTTTTGCATGTAGCTGTCCAATTTTCTCAACACCATTTGTTAAAGAGGCTGTCTTTACTCCATTGTATCCTCCTGCCACCTTTGTCAAATATTGAGTATAATGTCTTGGTTCTATTTCCTGATTCTCTGTTCTGTTCCATTGATCTATTTGCCTGTTCTTGTGCCAGTACCAGGCTGTTTTGATTACAATAGCTTTGTAGTATAATCTAATATCCAGTATTGTGATCCCTCCTACTTTATTCTTTTTTCAAGATTGCTGTGGCTATTCAGGGTCTTTTTTGGTTGTATATAAACTTTTAGAGTATTTGTTCTAGTTCTGTGAAATATGTCATTTGGTATTTTGATGGGGATTGCATTGAATCTATAGATTGCTTTGGGTAGTATGGACATTTTAATTATGTTAATTCTTCCAATCAATGAACAAGGTATGTGCTTCCACTTTTTTATATCTTCCTCCGTTTCTTTTTTCAATGTCCTGTAATTTTCTGCAAATAGGTCCTTTACTTCTTTGGTTAAGTTTATTCCTAGGTATCTTAATTTTTTTTGCCTCAATGGTAAATGGGATTGTTTTTTTAGTTTCTCTTCAGGATTATTTCTTCAGCTTACTTTATCTAACCAAAAGGTTCCTTCAAAAATGGCTAATCCTGCACAGTCTTTCACTTTAACTTTCCTTGTTCCCAGCTTAAAGTTTCCTCTTTGTCTAAGTATCCCCAACAATGGTGATGTGACATTTTCAATGTTAAGAAAGATACATACTAGTGTAAAGCTGTCTATATTAACCTTTCCTCAAAGGAAAAATCTTGGTGGAGAAGGGATTTGCATTATTTTGAATACCATTTTTATATATTTATTTATTTTTATTTTTATTTAAAATTTTTTTTTTTATCCTTACCTGAGGACATTTTTGCATTTTATCTTCAGATAGAGTGGGAGGGAGAGAGAGAGAGAGAGAGAGAAATCGAAGTGAGAGAGACATATTGACTGGCTGCCACCCACACGACCCCAACCAGGACTGGGGACAAACTACAACCGAGGTATGTGCTCTTAGCGGGAACAGAACCCAGGTCTCTCTGGACTGCAGGCCAACGCTCCAACCACTGAGCCAAACCTGCCAGAGCTATTTTGAATACTTTTAATTCATGTCACAAACGTTTATTGAATAGGTAACAGTATCATAGGGGATACAAATAAAGTACTGATAAAGGGATACCCAGTTAACCAAATGACCAGTACAGTGAGATGCAGTGTTGTGCGAGTTCAGAAAGTTGTCAGTTCTAGCTGGGATGATCAGGCATGATAGAGAAGACAGCAGGTGATTTGGTTCTGAAGAATGACAAGGATTCCAGCTGGTAATGGGAATGAAATGGTAGAAGAAAGGGTATTCATGGAATATGGCAACTGTATAAACCAAAGTGTTGAGATGTGCTTGAAGATGAGAAGGTTTACTTGGCCAGAGTTCATTGGAAACTCAAACAACAATCCAGGGGGAACTGGTAAGAATTGGGAGGAGGGAGTAGGAGTAGAAAGTAAAGACACATGAGTTTAATGGTAAAAATAATAACTACGCTGACACTGCAGTTCACTATATATAGTAAACCTGAAATATGGATCTAAGTATTAGTTTATGTCTAATATGTGCCCACGTCCTATTATTTCTTCTTTGAAATTGTTTCTGGGATTTGCCTCATTATTTCCATTCCTATTGTCTTCACCATAGTCCCACCTAGAAACAACCCCCAATCCAGTTCATTTTTGATTAATTCATTACTTTAATGAACCTTTATGAAGATCTTACTTTATAAGAAAACTGTGCTGGTATTTCCCTAATAGTGGCTAATGGGAACCCATGGTGGGTCCTTGGGGATATGAAAAACACAATTCAAACTGCCCTTCAGGGCTTCACAGTGCCTGTCACCAAATCAGTGTGCCCTGAGCCCCCTTATCCATCTGTATCCTCCCATCCCCAAATCATTTCTTTATAACTGTTCTTTATTTTTCCATTCTATAAAGCATTTTTGTTTTCTTTTGGCATGGCTGTCAAGGCCTCATAATTTTCCCTCCCTCTGTCCAATATCATTTCTCATTACTGCCTAAGACAAGCTCTTCACTCTGGCTGGTAAATCTTGTCTCCTCAGCGTCAGAATGTCTTTCCTCCCTCCAGGTTTTCATTCATTCTTTTCTCTCTGTTCTTTGACTTCAGATCATCTGCTTCTACTGAAATGCTACCTCACATTTTTGGGGAATGTTTTAATGATTAAGTAAAGTAATCCATGTAAAGCATTTACAATGGTCTCTAGCTTACAGTAAATATTCAATAGATGTAAACTATTGTTGTCCTTCAAAATCCAACTCAAATGTCACCTTCACGAAACTTTCTTTGACTGCTTAACCTCTCTGAGTCCTAATTTCCTAATCTGAAGAATGAGTAAGTGGTTAAGTAAATTCATAATAATTCTTAAGCCTATACCAAAGTTTTCATCTCTGAACTCCTATTACCCTTTTAATCAGTAAGAATAACTATCATTTAACTTCCAAAGACATTAAATTATCTTTGATGTGACAATTTATTGAACACTTACTATGTGCTAGGCAATGTAGAAGTCTGTTTGAAATGCATTACCTCATTTAATTTTTATGACAGTCCTATGAGGTGTGTCCTGTTAGAGAGGTTGCAAGACCTGCTGCCTATGGTATCAAAACTGGCAAGAGGCAATGCTGAAATTGGAATGCCTGGGTCTGTTGCCAGAGTGGAGCCCCAGAAACTGGAAAATAAAATGAAATGAGTCAACTAAAAGTGAGAAAAGAAGATACCTCTTTCAAGGGGCTTGGCTATGAGGGGAGGGGAAAGAGACAGACAGAAAGGGGTAGCTATTCAGGCCACTGTTGTTTTTTGAAGGAAGGAGATACGTGGGGATATAAATGGATTAACTTTAGGACCATCTTCCTCTGAGGCAGGCAAAAAGGAAGGCAAAAATGGATAGTGATCCAAAGAAGTTAAATTCTCTTTACTATAACAATAAGGTAAAAAAAAAAAATCATGGTACTGGTTGCCTCACAAAGCTAACAATAAAGAGAGACACTGCATTTGTATTTAATTGGGAAAATGTGAAATTAATTTCTTTAAAATGCATGAATGCACAATGAACTCAACATTAGAATATAATATAGTGCTGTAATTGAAAGCATTGTATTAAAGCACTAAGTACTGGATTAGTATATTTTCACTTGAAGTGACCATTTTTCTTAACTTCCTGCTTTATATTTTCATACTAAGCTATATAATGAAATGGCATCAAATAATCCTTCCAACATAACTTTTAGGAAGCTTTTTATATGTTGCTTTTTTTCATTTAGGAAATGTTGGGAATAAAATACTGCAAAATTCATTGCAATATAATTCATAAGATTTCATAGTAAAAATATTGAACTGATTTATCTACAGAGTTGACTTATGCATGGAATTCTGTACATAATATTTAAGAACTATGTTTGATATAAAATAAAATAGTTCAGAATATTTTCAGACAGAGTCTATCTCTACCTTAAAGAACAAAGGACAAATTATGAATCTTATCAAACTATAGCAGGATAGACTTAAAGTCATTTCAGTTAAACTGTGGGTCCAGTGTATATGGCTAAAACAAATTGGGCCTGTCTGAGAAGGAATTAGAATTTTTAAAAATCCATGAAACAGTTCTAGCACTATTGCAACTTAAAATATATATCATGAAATGCTATACATCTTATTGTGTAACGTAAAATCCTAAATTTATATAAAACCTACTCTGAGCACAGCAAGAATTTTGCCAAACTTTAGACTCCCCCCGACCCTTGAAATAAAAAAAAAAAAAAGGTGATTGGGTAAGTTTAACCATTTTTAGGACTTGCCTTCCTTAATTCCAAGTTCTATAAATCATCTGATCTTTCCCTCACTATCTTGCAGGCTGTTGATGTGACCTCTGTGGCAACATTTTAGTGGGGATACTACTAGAGGCAGCTGGAGAAGTGGTGGGAGGCATAAACAGGAAATCATTTGGAACTTGAATAATAATGTACTATTTAAGGAATGTCATCCATTCCAATTAATTTGCCAGAAGAATTAAGGTCTGTCTTAGAAAATAAGACATATTGAAGTATTCAACCATATATATTAAAAATATTTGCTATTTTTATCTAAACTGGATTTTACATAATTACTCTTACCTTATTTAACCCAATGACTGGTACTCACTGACAGACTATTGTGTATAGTCCAGTGTTATTTCAAGGTTGAATGGACAGAAGGATAAAAGTGAGAGGGTGGAGAGACTAGGCTGAGCAGGAGGAAAGGGCAGGGAGAGGGAAGAAAGATAGCAACCTTTAGGTACCTTACAATCTTGAGCACATGAAACTACTTGAGCATTAGTTTTACTAAGCAAACATAGGCAAATCAGTATGGTAGAAATATATGGGGGGGGAGGTGAAGGAAACAAACTTAGAGCAGTAAGAGAAAACACTGTTAATGAAATAGAAATTTATGTTGAAAGGTTTAAGCTAAGTACCATATTAGTGGGTGGTAGACAAAGAAAGATTGATAAGGAAGAGCATATTCAAGAGTGGGACTATGACCCAAGGAAGGAAATGATTTCTATTTTCCTTCTGAAATTTGGGGCACAGAATTATCTTTTTAATCATCTAATAAGTTAATATAATGGAATAAAAGTTTTACTTTTACTATATTTATTTATTTTTATGATACTTGGAATAACGTGCCAATTGCTTTCTGAATCTGGTTCCTCCTTTCTTTCAGAGGAGGGAAGAGAAAGTGATTTCTAACCTGAGGAGTGTGATTATAGGTGTGAAGGATGATTCACGGAGAGGAGAAGGACATGGAGGATGGAGCCCCAGAGAACACCGACATCCAGGAGACAGCAGCAGCAGAATAGCCAGGAAGAGAGCAGAGGAGAAAGGGCTTAGAGAATCATGGAGAGAAGCCAGGTGAGGTCAGTATTTCAAGAAGGTGATCAGTGAGAAGGACCAAAAAGAAAGAAGAGGTTGCTGGAGATCACAGGAAGCACACTTTCTATAGGATGCTGAGGGTGAAAAATATATTCTGCTGAGTTGAAATGTGAATTGGAGGAGTCTCAGGCTGAGTGGTGCCTGAGGCATGTTCATCATTTATCAGGTAAGCCAAAGCCATGTAACATTTTGAAGTGATTCCCCAGGGTCCTCCTATGTACTTTTCTAGATACTTGCTCACAGGAGTGACAGCACCATGAGGTTCAAAATGAGCTTAGCCTCGGGACACAAACAGGAACACAGAGTGGCTAACGTCATCAGCACCTCATGCATTAAACATCAGAAGTGAATACATTTTATTATTTCACAAGTCTTCACAAAATCCTGTCGATAGGAAGAAGTACCTTCCATCTTTAAAGTTCAGAAACTGGTAAACAGAAGACCAACCTGACCTGTTTAAGAGAATTACTGGCAAGGGTATAAGCCACATTTAGATCTTAAGATTTCTTTTGAATTAGGTTTCCCAAAAACTAGACTTTAAGCCAAAAAACAACACAAGTACTCTGTGGTGGCACATATATTTGGATATATATTTTGGTTTTAACTGATTTACTATTAATCAGGTTAACATTTTGGTGCTTTTATTTCTTCCAGTCTTGTTTTGTTTTTGTTTCTCATTTGCTTGTTTTATAATATTGGAATAATACTGTATTTTGTTTTGTGGTCTTCATGTCTGACTTAATATATTTTGATAATGTTCCCTTCTCATTAAATATTCTTATAAGATTATATTTTGACAGATATTTATCCTATGTATATAGAATAATTTACTTAAGAATCACCCTCTAAATGGGCATTTAGAATGTTCTGACTTTTCTTTATAGAACATTTGAAATAAAAATGGGTTTAACTTTTCACGATTCAAGGCACAGAACAAATTTCTGCTATCTTTTGAATAACAATAAAGCCAAGTCTACATAAAAGAAGGCTGGCAATTTTACTATAAATTTGGGCTGATGGCAAAAATCTAAGTCTTAAATATCAATATTTCTTTCCAAATATGAGCTTCACATTTTAAAAGTGTATTCCATAAAACATGAATCCAGATGTTACATTATGAAATGAGTTTAATTAAAAAAAAAAAAAAAAAGGAACAAGTTAGGGAAATATTGCCTTTTACGGCTTTTTCTTTAAAATATGTATAGGTGTACAATGTATAGGCTCAGACAAATCCTGGAGCAAAGAAATGTATTTACTAAAGTTAGCATGCTTTTTTCCAAACTTATTTGACCATGCAGTCCCTTACCATATACCATCAGTTATTACCATTAATTCTATAAAAAGCATACTTTGGGGTTTCTAATCTAGGCAATTCAAGGAAATAAGTTTTTCTGAACAAGTTATCCTTTATTTTATTTATTTATTTAAAAAAATATTTTTATTGCCCGGCTGGTGTGGCTCAGTGGTTGAGTGTTGACCCATGCATCAGGAAGTCGTCAGCTTGATTCCTGGTCAGGGCACATGCCCAGGTTGTGGGCCAAATCCCCAATAGGGGGCATGCAGGAGGCAGCCAATAGATGTTTCTATCTCTCTTTCCCTCTCCCTTCCCCTCTCTCTAAACTCAATAAAGAAAAAAAATTTAAAAAATATATTTGTATTGATTTTTTTTTTCTTCTTGAAGAGAGGAAGGGAAGAAAGAGAAAAACATTGATGAGAGAGAAATGTGAATGTGCTGCCTCCTGCAGGCCCCTTACTGGTGATCCTGAAAACCTGGACATGTGCCCTGGCCACCAGAATTGAACCTTTGACCTCTTGGTGCATGGGATGATGTTCAACCAACTGAGCCACACTAGCCAGGGCTATCCATTTAATTAAAATGTCTGACATGTAAACTTTGAAAAAGCATAAATATCTTATAAGATATTTATCTTATATCTTTATTAATTCTTAAGATTTTTAGCTTGCTAAACGCAGTGCAAAATGACATTTGAGTATAAAACTGGACAGAATTTTAACAGGCACTAGAACTGAGCAGATTGCTATACTTTGGTAATACACTTGGTGTTTAATATCAAATAAACTAGACTGTTTAGCTACATTTCTTTCCCAAAGTGTCTCTACTTAAAAGAACAAGTTGAATTTTGATTCAAAGATATCTTTTTTTCTTTTTTTTTTTAATTGACTTTTTAGAGACAGGAAGGTAGAGGGAGAGAGAGATAGAAACATCTATGAGAGAAGCATTAACATGGGTTGACTGCCTCCTGCATACCTTCTACTGAGGACTGAGCCCATAATCCAGGCATGTGCCCTGACTAGGAATCAAACTAGTGACCTCTTGGTGCATAGGTTCACACACAACCATTCAGCCACACCAGTGGGGCTCCTCTGGAATCTGTTTTGTTTCCATTTTTTTAGTTTTGTATCCTTCTTATGTTTAAATCTACAAGGAACTCTTCTGCACCTTTCCCCTCCATTGTCAAATGATTCATCGGGTAGTTGCATGACTGCTCAATCTCCAAACCTGGTCAAGCAGGCTCCCAAGAAGTAAGGGCCTTCTTGGCACTGGTTGCTACTGTTTCCCTCAGGGTGAATGCTTTGTGTAAAAACAGTCAAGTGATAAGCAACATTTTGCATTCAAAGTAGCAACATAGGAGAGACATAGGATATGCACTGGAAGGAGTTCTGGTTTCTATCTTTGAAGATTCTAATCTAATATCTACTATTTACCAGTAGCATGACCCTATAGAAGTTATTTAATCTCTGAGCCGTAAGTATATCATATGCTTGGTCTAAAGAATACTTGTTCTCCTCACTCTTCGGCCATTGTGAAGAACAAATGAGATAATATAGTTAAAAGTCTTTGACAATTGCAAAGTACTATATAAATGTAAGGAAGAATACATTATTTTATTTCAATTTCACCAGAGTAGTTAGGAAAGCATACATATACATGCCCCCAAATAACACATTGGAACAGAAAATCTATGACCTGTTCAAATCATACAGTGGGTCACAGAAGCTTTGATTGCTTAGACTAGGACCCTTTGGAGATTTCCTTAAATAGGAAATCTTGAAAACAACACAATAATTCACCCATTTTATTTCTTTTTTACCCCTTTTAATTTATCTTGCTTTTTAAAAATTGTTCTAGTGAGTGTCTAGCACAATATAAAAGTTTAAGAAAACAAATTTCTAAAAGAGTGTCAGGTAAGGGCTAAAAGTGGTAGCTCCAGAACCAGACACAATTTGGGTTTGAATCTTAACTTTGCTCTATCTTAGCTCTGTAAACTTGAATAAATCCTTAACTTGTATGAGCATCATCTTCCTCCTCTCCCCATGGAATAGATAAATAATTTACATAACCAAGTTTACTGAGCTCTTACTTTGGGCTGGGCATTTTAATGCATTATCTCATTTAATCTCAGAAAATGCTTACAAAATAGCTTCAGTGCCTGTCAAATCTGACAAGATAGTTTACAGTGCCGATAAGATTTCAACAAATATTAGATATTATTTCACACACACAAAAAAAGCTGAGCCTTTTTCTTAAAGGAAGTTATCAGTGTAGGGTGGAAAGATGGTCACTTCAGAGTAAGGCACACCAGCTCCTCATTACCTTCATTTTAACATAAATGCTAACTGGGTTTGCTAAATTGGGTTTACACAAGCTGATCAGTCCTTTCCCTGGAACAAAAATACTCAAAACCTAAAACCTTAAAGATAAAAAAATGCTATCTGAATAAAAAATGTTCCTTCCTGGCCTGACCAGTGTGGCTCAGTGGATTAAACGTTGTCCCATGGACTGAGAGGGTTGGTTTCCCAGTCAGGGCACATGCAGGGGTTGTGGGCTTGATCCCTGGGTGTGCAGGAGGTGGTTGATTGATGTTTCTCTCTCACATCAATGTTTCACTCTCTCCCTTTCTCTCAAAAAAAAAAAAAAAAAAATCAATAAAAATGTATTAAAAAAAAGTGTTCCTTTCTGAATAATTTTTCAAATCCTATCCTTTCCCCTTCTTTGCACAAAGATGATAGTGCATACACACACACACTTCTTTACATCAGACATGCAGGGAACAAACACTGTAGTGTGTGTCTCTAGTACGTAGCTGTCCTTCTGTTTGAACAGAACACTTTGCCTTCATTTTTTTGGGTTGTTCCATAAGCTGTGTTGTTTTTGTTTGTTTGTTTTTTAATTAATCCTCACCTGAGGATATTTTTTTCATTGATTTTTAGAGAGAGTGGAAAGGAGAGAAGGGGAAAAAAAGAAGAGAGAGAAACACTGATGTATGAGAGACACATAGAATAGTTACTTCCCACACGCACCCCAACTGGGTCTGGGGATTGAGCCTGCAACCCAAGAATGTAGGAATCGTACCCATGACCCTTCTGTGCACAGCTGATGCTCTAACCACTTAGCACACTGGCTAGGGCCTGTGCTTTTTTAAGTAACTGAAAATTCATGTTCTACTTGAGAAATAATGATTCTTCAGGATTAATTTTGAACTATATTCTGTAAAATGGTCTTTCTTAAAATTCTCTTAATTCTCAGTGGGATAAAAAACAAAACAATTTTAAATATACAGAAAGAGTCTAACTTTGTATTTAATTGTATTGCCTCCATCATAGAGTTTTAAAGACTATTTTTAAAAAGCAAAAAGTTTCTAAAATCATGTTACATTTTTAGAGCTGAATTATTAAAAAATAATTCATGCTTGGCTATCTCTCCTGTGTTAAATAGTTATTTATGAACATTTTATTTTTAAAAATGTAGTTTCCAATTCTGGTTCTGCCACCAACTAGCTGTATGATCTTGATCTTAATTAGTCTGTGTCTCAGTCTCCTCATCTTTGAAAGGGACTAAGATTTGATGATCCTTCTCAACTCTTAACTTTTATGATTATCTCCCTTTTTCTATAATTGGCAGAAAAGAAAATGGGGATACATGAAATTTTTTAGACCTAAAAAGTTAAAATAATTAAAATGAGATCTATGACTTCTTTTCTTTTTTTTTTTTATCCTCACCCGAGGGCATTTTTCCATTTTAGTTCAGATAGAGTGGGAGGGAGAGAGAGGAAGAAAGAGATGGGGGCGGGGGGGGGGGGACATCGATGTGAAAGGGACCCATTGAGTGGCTGCCTCCTGCATGACCAACCAGGGCTGGAGACAAACTGCAACTGAGGTACATACCTTTGACCATAATCGAACCCATGACTCATTGGTCTGTGGGCCAATGCTCCAATCACTGAGCCA